ATAGATAGATAGATAGATAGATAGATAGATAGATAGATAGATAGATATAGATATAGATATAGATATAGATATAGATATAGATATAGATATAGATATAGATATAGATATAGATATAGATGATATAGATATTTGGAACAAGAGTTCATTTCAAGACGAATATGAGTCAGCAGGGTAATATAACTGCTTAGAACAGGGGTCTCCAACCTTGGCAACGTTAAGACTCGTGGACTTCAACTCCCAGAATTCCTCAGCCAGCTTAGCTGGCTTTGGGAGTTGAAGTCCACAAGTCTTAAAGTTGCCAAGGTTGGAGATCCCTGGCTTAAAAGGCAAATGCATGTTCAGATTATATCAAATAGAATTTCTAAATGGAAGGAAATCACTTCTTTCACATGGTTTGCATTGGTCAGACCACAAATGAGTACTGCATGCAATTCACTGAACTATACTTCAACAAAATTTTAGAGCAAGAATCTTCAAATTTGGCAAGTTTAAGACTTGTGGACTTCAACTCCCAGAATTCCTGAGCTAACATGACTGGAAGAGGAATTCTGGGAATTGAAGTCCACAAGTCTTAAAGCTGTCAAGTTTGAAGACCCCTGTTTTAGAGAAACCAGAAGGGCCAACAGACCATAAGAATGACCCCAGGGTTAGAAACCTGAGTTTTGTGAGGTGAGACTGAGACTAGTGTGTATGTTTAGCTTTTGAAATAAGACAACTGAAGTGGAGATGTTATAACAGTTTTTAGATACCTAAAGGATTGCCATACAGAAAGCTTTCAAGATCTAGAGTGCTGGTAATAATAGGCCTTACTTTACTGAGTTCCTAAAATTAAGAGCAATTTGATTTTTGAAGGTTAAAGCATTTCAAGTAACAATCCTCAGACTGTTTCTAGTAAGAAACAATATCATATTATAATTTAATGCTTGTATGAGTTAAGTAGCATAGCAGCAGCTACATCCTTTACTCAAACTTGCTTAGTTACGATAGTTTCAATAGTCAAATCAACAACGAGAGCTTGGATACTGTGAATGGCACAATACAGTCATTCTTGAAGCAGCTCTTCATAATCTGTCCAGGCTTGTTTCTGAATATCCTTTGAATCTAGGAGATGGTTTGTAGCTACTGAAGATAAGAGAAATATGAGTATCTTTGCACCATAAGCAGAATTTATCATCTAACATTTGGATCCCAGCCAAAGAATTCAATGGGCTGTGAATAGTCCAGGAATCTTGATTTCTCAGAAATTCTCACTCAGAGCTATAGACTACCAGGCCTCTTTTAAGAATCACTGTTAACTTGTTCAGAGCTTAAGCATGTATACACAGCCATCCTGGACAGGTAATCAAAATGTCCCTATATTTAACTTTCCAACAGTTTCCCTTTCTGGTCAGTAAATCCTAACTTTTAACATTGCACAGGACACCCTTAACAAGACTTCGAAATTATAGCAGTATTTCTATAATGTCAAGGGTGCTATGATAAAATGGTAACTACAATCAGAAAACAAATTTTCTAAAAGATAAATTGTTAAACTAAAAAAAATTCAATAATCTAAAATCAAGGGAGAAGTTAAACAAAGCAAGGACCAAGAAACTTGGCCAACAGAATATAACGTATTGCTCAGAATCCCAGTTTTAATTCTACTCACAGATGTACCTGAAAAAGGGCATTATTATTCTTATGGTTGGTCACATAGTTAGCCAGATGTTTAGACTGAATTTTGCACTTTTATTCACCTATTGGATCCTTCCCAAGGACCTGGTATAGGCAGGTGTTGTTTCATGGTGTTAAAGGACCATTATTTTTATTTTGCTTCACAACTATCTCTCGGAACACAATTCACGAAATTACCATAGTTACTGGGGATTAGTCCAGTTCTTCCTTTACAGGTTCCTTTCCACCAGTTTGTGTCACTCTGGAGAAAAAAGAAATCAGTGCTGAAAAAGGCAACTAGGAGTTCAATGGTAACTTTATTCTCTTAAGGACAGAGTGGGTTAGTGCAGGGGTCTCCAACCTTAGCAACTTTAAGACCTGTGAATTTCAAGCAAGGCTGGCTGAGGAATTCTGGGAGTTGAAGTCCACAAGTCTTAAAGTTGCCAAGGTTTAGTGGCTTTATTTATCAACTCACCATATCAGAAATGTAGATGATGTCTCCTTCTTCAAAATACAGTTCATCTGGCTGGAGCAATAAATACATTGCATTAGTTAAAGAATTGACTTAAACTACATGACCTTTTTTCATTGACAACTCCAATTCCAATCCTTGCATCCCAAGTCAAAAAAATTGCAATTGTGCATCCTAGTACACACGGTTAAGAGACTCGGTGGCTTGTATGATTTAGCCCTGTCCTTTCAGAGGACAATATCCCCGCAATCCATCTGCTGGTTAGTAAGTCCTCTTTGGGTTTTTTCCTGGAAAGAAATTGTGCAAAAGGACTTGAGATTCCATTTATCTCCCTGTCAGCAGGATTTCCACGGAAAACTAAATAGAACCAAATTATATGGGGGTGGAGGGGACGGACAAGCCAGCAAATAAAATACTGAGTTCCAAAAAAGCTTAGATGTGGTGGGGAAAGGGTCGGGGGGAATCACCCAATTGTTGGACACAGGTCCATTCTAAAATGTTATCATTCCTCCCTCCCAGTTACAAGACAGATTTGATCGAATTATATAATAACAGAGTTGGAGTGGAGTGCTGAAGTCTTCTAGCCCAAACCCTTGCTCAACCAGGAGATCCTATTCCATTTCAGACAAATGGTTGTCCAATCTGTTCTTAAAAAATTTCCAGTGATGGAGCACCCAACCCATTCCACTGGTTAATTGATTCCATTGTCAGGAAATTTCTCCTTATTTCTGGGTTGGTTCTCTTCTTGATCAGTTTCCGTCCATCTTCTCCTGCCTTCAGGTGCTTTGGAGAATGGATTGACCTCTCCCCCTTTTTTGAGGCAGCACCTTAGAAATTGGAATATTACTAGAACACCACTCCTAGGTCTTCTTTTCATTAAGCCTAGAGTGGTGTTATTTTATTTTATTAATTTTTAATTGCTAAATTTCACATGAACTCATAGCAATGTACGCTAACAATAGAAAATAATTGTAAAAACTACTTTGCCCTTTGATTCCAAGTGTGCACGCCCACATCCACTCAATGCCTATACACCCAAACCAATCCCATGTTTTCAGAAACACACATATGCTCACATATCCCACAAATTGAGGCAAGATATATATTGTATTCATATTGTAATCACTGTCCTTCCACTTGGGATACAGCAACAAATTGAGAATACTGTTGTCTCTTGCTGCCATCTACTGATTACTGATGGAAAAATACAGTACAACAGGAGAGTAAAACTGCATATGAATCAAATTGAAATAGCAAATGCTCCTTATTTTTATTGATCTATTGATGCTGAAAAATAGCTATGTCATTGTGTTGAAGGTGGAACCAAGTACAAGAATGAATGTTGATGATGTGGATTTTGCTGCACAGCTAAGAGCAACCATCGGAAGAAGCTAATGTAAAATACTAGTACCACTTTATACTACACTGGTTAAGACCATACTTGGAATACTCCATCCAGTTTGGGTCATTACAATACAAAAAAGGTGTTGAAACTCTAGAAAAAGTGCAGAGAAGAGCAACAAAGATGATTAGGGAACTGGAGTAAAAACTTACAATGAACGTTGGCTGTGTCTAATCTAACAAAGGACTAGGGATGACATGATAGCAGTCTTCCAATATTTGAGGAGCTGTCACAGAGAAGAGGAGTCAACCTATTCTCCAAAGCTTCTGAGGGCAGGACCAGAACTAATGGATGGAAGCTTATTAAAGAGAGATCCAACTTAGAATTAAGGAGAAATTTCCTGACACTGGAATCAATTAATCAAGGGAATGGGTTGCCTCAGAAGTTGTAGGTGCTCCATCACTGGAGGTTTTTAAGAAGAGATTGAACAGACATAGGGACTCCTACTTGAGCAAGAGATTGGATTAGAAAACTTCCAAGATCCTTTCCAACTCAGTTATTCCAGAGCAGGGATTCATAACTAAAGGACTGAACATCTGCACTGCTGTTGTAATCAGAATAAGAGGCCACAGACCTGTGTCATGTGCTGTCAGTCTGAAACACTCATATCTCTCTGAGGGAAAACATTTTGAGAGTTGGGCTGCCAAGAACATTCTCAGTCTGCCTTTGAGCCATCCCCAGCTATTCTTTCACCATCCCTCTCTTCACCGTCATTCTCATACAGCCAGTAACAAACCCCAAAGCAGTCATATAATGAGATCACAGAAGTGGCTAATGGCTCTCCAACACTATTTGCGATCTGCTGCGGTTTAGCTGCATCTGTGAGTCTCTTGAATTATAGATACACAGGAAAGGGATTTATAGGGGCCAGCGAGGTTCTGTGTTTCCCTAGACTAGGAGCTAGGTTCCCTGGTTTTGTGGTGAGACAGAGGTGAAAAATGCTGATTGGTTTTGCAGTTCTCCCTCAGGAACTTGGACAAAATAAAGAGGATCTGCATGCAAATGCCAAATTACTGAATCAGAAGTATTGTAAGGAGTAAAAATAAAGGCAGTGTAGAAGTATGGTTTTGAGCATACGTGTGATTTTTTAAAAATGTACTGGTTCCTCCTAAGTATGTGAAAAGGGAAAATAAAAGAGAGCATGGGGCAGAATAATTTAATGGTCAATGAGATAGGAAATAACCCAAATCAGGAGTGTCAAACTGAAGGCCGGTGGGCTAAATCCGGCCTGTGAGATATTTAGTTCTGGTCCACAGGTCCACCCTAGAAACAGTGAAGGAATGACCCAAGGTGCTTCTGCAGTGAAAACAGAGGTTGGGAGGGATGCATGTGACCTTCCCCAGGCTCCATTTTCACTGACAGAACGCTGGAGCAGGCTGTTGCAGCCGAAAAGGGAGCCCGGAGGACAATGGATCCCCCCAAGTGCCCCCCGACATGAGTGACACCAAACTGGTCATGCCCCCGGCTTCCTCGAGGTCAAACACAACCCTGATGCAGCCCTCAATGAAATTGAATTTGAAACCCCTGACCCAAATGATCTTATTTACAAATTTTCTTGAAACTGGGACCTTACTGAGCAGTTTATTATTCAACATTAGCTATCATATTTCTACGCTAACCTAAACATTTAGCGAAAGTTTAATGGAGAACTGGTAAAATGCAGGATCCTACAAGGTTTGAGCTGAACTGAAGTAACTATATCTTTCCAAATAGCTCATTGATTCAGTTTATTTGAATAGATTTCGGTGCGTTCGGGTTTGTGGGTGTGTATTTTAGGGAAGTAAAATAGAAAAAAAATGAAGTGGGAGTTTACATTTTAATGTACCAGTGGTATAGCATAAATACAGGAAACTGGCAGAAATCCAGAAAGGGATATAATACAAAGGCTGTAGCCTTCAATAGAAGGTAATGGCTGGGCTTTATCTCAGATCCTGACTTAGGGATCTCAAATAAAACCCATTTATTGCCTTCTATTGAAAGCTATAGCCTTTCCATTATATCCCTTTCTAAATTTCTGGTTGCAGAAAAGACTTGAGGGTAGGCTAATGCACATACAGACAATGTAATGAAGAAATGGTGTAGGGTCTCCTGATCGGGAGGGAGGTTGGACTAGATGACCTACAAGGTCCCTTCCAACTCTGCTTATCTGTTATCTATTAAATGGGGCAAGATCACTTGCTCAGCTTAAAGCTTAATGGAAGTGTTATAAGTTTACCTTAAACTTATTTGGAAAAATAGCCTTCATTCACAATCATAACTAGAAATTCTGCCCATTTTATTATTGCAAAAGAATAAAATAAAATCTTTTTCGGGTGAAACCTGACACCCAGAATCAGCATGGATACTTTTGTCAGAGTTATCTATCAGAGAAAGCAGCAGGGAAAAATAATAAAATTGTGCTGTCAAGCTGCAAACTTTGCTCCTTTTGTATGGGTGTTGTGATGTCACACACCAATACGGAAGGGGCAGACCTTTTGTTGCAATGCCCGTTTTGTAATTTGGATAAAATGGTCAAATGCTTTGCTTCAGCCCTGGTAGTATTGAGAGGCTCCCATCCAAGTACTAACCAAGACTAAACCTAGTTATCCTCCAATCACAGACAATATCAGCTAAATGATGGCTCTGCTTAGATGAAATGATGAAATAACAGCTAAGAGAATATTATCTCTACAATTTACCCAAGGCACAACAAAGGCTCAGAAAGTGTGCACAAGACAGTGTAATAAAAGATACAAACATCTTACAAGCAAGAGTTGCATCTTTCATCCCAATACTTTTATTTGATCGATCGGAGCAAACAAGCGGAAGCCTAAACAAATCTCTTCCTGGTCTCCCTAAAGTGCAACAAAAGTAAGCGATGAGGCTTAGATTCTTTCATAATCCTCTAAATTCCAGATTTCTAAATGTCACAGGTTAAGCTCAATGACACAGAGGAAAGACAGACATTGGGAAAAACAAGATCCAAGACATGATGTAACTCAGCACAACAGCAGACTAGTAATTTCTGTCAGGTTACAGAAATGGATTGATTTAAAACATTAGCATACCATTCACCATTACAAAATCTCAGCGAGGTTACACTAGAATTCAAATCATGAAGATAGTTAGGTTAAAATAACCAAAGAACGCGTACCTCAAAACTTTGTATAAAATCTGAAGATAAATGCAGAGGGAGGAGGTGGACCCAAGATTGTTTTAAAAGAATTTCTTCTTAATTCTTAGTGGTTACAAATGCCGCTTGCAATCATGAGACACTTCCTGTTATACTTCTGTTAGCCGTTTGAACTGTTTGTTCAGGAATGACTGGATCAGTTGGCAGGATTTGCACAATCAAGGCCTGAACTGCATGCCAAAATATGATTTAGCAATGAAAAGGCTGAGCAGTCTTACTACACATAGCATCCATTTTTATTTGGAAGCCAAAGCACAATCTGCAGGTCATGTGATGAAATTCTCGGTAAATATGAACGAAGAACAAACAACAGCTTTAATCTAAAAAATAAAAATGGGATGATATTTCATCTCCTCAGGGGAAATACGTATATTCCTTCCCATCTTTCATGTTCACACAAAAAAAAAGGCTGGACCAAGTTACCCCTTAAGATGCAAATTTTCCTTTTTTACGTATCTTTAAAAAGTAGAAATATACTTACTGTTCTGGGTTCAAATGTATATAGGGCTCGAAAAACTTTCACCTGCCCTAAAATACAGAAAGAAATAAGCATTAACCAGAGAATATTTCTCCTTGACAGAGTTGAAGTACAGAGTCTGGATTCCTGTTTTTTTAATGTTTATTTTCTTCCCTTTTCCTTGTAGTATTAAGCTGCATAAAAGCTGACATGAATTTCATTTCTTCCAGTCCCTCGAGGAAAAAAAAACCAGAAACTTGTGCTAATGCTCATAAGTTTGCTACTAAAGTGTGACTGTGTAATTCTCTGTGGGCTAGAAACATGGCATTTGGAGCATATATGATTGAGCACTTCTGATTGATCAGTATGGTTCCCAAGCAAACAACAATACCAGTTTAACTGCAGAAATTCTATGGATATTCAGTATGGTATAATATTAGGGGCATTTATAGATGACAACTGATTTTGGATAGCCCTTAAAAACAGGGAGAAAATCTACAAGTCAGCACTGACCAAATAGCTCATGTTAAAAACAGCGGTGTACTGGCCATCTTATCTGCCTACTTAAGAATCTTTTTGGTGACCAGGAAGCAACAGTTCGAATGGATTAAGGAGCTATTAAAAATTCAAATTTGAGAAAATCTGTAACAGAATTGCATATGGTCCATCTATATATCTAATCCATGCAAAATATATTCTAAGAAATGTTACAAGATTTCAAGAAATAGATATAGAAACCTACTTTTATGTCAAAAGAAAAAATTAAGCCAATGCAAATAGGCAGCTATAAAGTTGAATTAGTAACAAGAGTTGATCTTCCTACGTCAAAAAAGTTCACAGGAATGGTAACTGCAGATATAATATAAAGAGATGACTGCTTCTTGGAAGAAAGAATATGACAAATCTAGACAAATATTAAAATATAGAGGCATCAAACAGACAATAAAGCTACTATGTGTATGTATGTATGTGTATGTATGTATGTATGTATGTATGTATGTATGTATGTATGTATGGTATTCAGCTTTGTCTGTTTTTTTTCTCACGTCATTATAGTTGGGATGATTCTTTGCTGGATCCCTTCACTGATGGGGGAAGGCTTTTATTTTGGATTTGGTGGTTTTTTCCAGGTAGGTGGTGGGGTCAGTATTTAGAGGTTTGTAAGCGGGGTCTTGGAGTAGGTTGGATAGTTTGGATTGGTAGTCCGATGTGTTCATCACGACTGTGGTGTTGCCTTTGTCTGCTGGGAGAATGATTATGTTGTTGTCTTTCCTCAAGGTGGTGAGTGCTTTTTGTTCTTCTCTGTGTAAGTTGCTTCTGGGTGGACTGCTGGAGCAGATGACATTGGTGACTTCAAGTCTAATTTTATTGGCTATATCTGGGTTAATTTTGGTTAGGCTTCAACTCCGCATATAATTTTTCGGTGGGGATGCGTTTGGCGGTGATTGCAAAGTTGAATCCCTTGGAAAGGACATTGGTTTCTGCTCTGGTGAGGGTTCTGTCTGATATGTTGTGTGCTGTTTGTTTCATGCGTTGTTGTGGGGGGATGGGGGGGCTTCTGGTGTTTCTCTAGTTTGTGGAGTTTGCTGGTGTGTGTGTCTATCTTGTGGGAGGTTTCTGTTTCGGCTCTCCATAGGGCTAGTTGTTTGGATTTGTCCCAGAGTGCTGGGTGGATTTTGTTGCTGAGTTTGAGGTGGAGAGTAACTAGGTCCCTGTTGGTTTGGTCTAGTAGAAATCTTTTCCTGTGGAGTTTGTTTCTGATTAGGGTTAATTTCGTTTTTTTCAGGATCCTTTCAGTGGCTGAGGTTTTGGAATGGACTTTGAGTTGGAAGCATGTGGGGTCACTTTTTTGTCTCGGCAATTGCGTAGGAATGTGAGGTCACATAAGATGGTGGCTCTTCAGACTTTGAGTTTCTCATAGATCCTGGTCAGCTGGAAGGTTTCAGCCTGAAGATGGCAAGAGGAACCTCATTGAAATGTTGCCAAGATACTCTCAATCTTACATGGGAAAAGACCTGAACAAGCCAAGACCTGCACACACACACACACACCCCTGGTAATTATTTTTAAAAATATCCATATATCCCATTAATGGTCATATATAAGTCCAACTGCAGTTAAGCTGACCCTCAATACCAATGAAAAATATATACTTTTGGATTATTACGGATAAGCCAATTATTAAAATTAGAACACAAAACATTTTGAGGTTTAGTTTTATTTTTAATGGTATTTTGTTAAAACTTCAAAGGTTGGCTTATCATAGATAGGCTTATATGAGATTATATATGGTACATATACACTAGCACTGGTTTAGCTAGTCAGGATAATGAAATGTCTGCAAGAAAACAAGCAAGCTCAGAGAGCATCAAGGGTCCCTCATACATGTTGCTAAGGCTATGATCTTCTCACTGGTCACATGTGGCTGTGAAAGCTGGACCACCAAAAAGAAAAATTGCTTTTTTTGAATTGTGATACCGCAGAAAATGGTTGAGAGTACTTTGGACTGCAAGAAGAACATTTGATTAAAAAAAAATAGCAACAATATGACAAATACATGCATATTCTTTCCTTGGGACTTTTATTTCCTCTATCTGCATTTTTGGATAAATCTGTGACAAATATAACTTCTCCAATTGCTATAGCTTCTAATTATAGCTAATTTGGATGAGGTACTAGACTACTCAAATCACAAAAAGTTGGGTAGCAATCTGTCTGGGCCATTGTACCATTTGAGATGGTATAACATCTAACAATTACCATATTTCCCCATGTATAAGCACCCCCTTTGTATAAGCCACCCCCCCAATTTTTGGACTGTGAAGTTTTGAAAAAAATATTTTATTAGAGAAACAAGTTATGAAGAAAGAAAATTTACAAAGAAACAAAATTCGACGTCTAGATCTACAACTTCGGTCATGACGCCGAAAGCGGTGCGGGCGACGCTAGCAATCTACGCATCGGAACGGGAGTAGGAACGAAGCATTCAGGCCGATGCCTAGCGTATGCATTTCTATCGTGTACTCGCACTCGTAATCGTATCATCACGTACAATTTTTACAAAAAAGTATAGCATACTACTGGAAAACCAGTTTATTCCTACTTTATTATTTTATGCATTTTTCACGTATAAAAAGTGTACCTGCTTTGTATATGCCACCCCCCTACTTTTTGGGCTTGAAAATTTTGGAAAAAAGGGGTGGCTTATACATGGGGAAATACAGTAGGTTTTACTATTAGTTCTTCCCATAGTGAAATAACATTATATTTAAAAAGCACGAACAATATGTTTTATTGATTTTGGTGGGCCTTAGGGTTAAACTAGATGGGACTATTACAAATCTTAATGTTTGTTTTGCTCCATTCATACAAACAGTAGAGGTGTACAAACAGTATTATAGTGAATAAATCATCAAGAGGCACCATGCAACATCAGAACAAGGAAGCCCCTATTATCTGGCTGTAGATATCTTTAAATACTAGTACAAGTGTGATCAAGTGTTAATCTGTAACGTGTGTTATTATTTTCACTCCTTTTATCATCATAGAAAACTCATGAGGAAGAAAATTACATGCCGATTATTTCTGTGTTTTCTTCTGCTTATGTCAACAGGAACCACAAATGATGTGGACTGGTTTTTTTTGGATTTTGCTGCAGTGCAGATTTCTTAAAAGGACATGTCCAGGCAAAAAGTGGTTATATGGATTTTCAATCCATTTCTTTATAGCTTGCTTTAAAAAAATGTTAACTCCTGCACAAAGTTCATAAAAAGAAACAACCCAGCATTTGGAAATCACCAGCAGAGATGGGATCATTGCAATTAGCCTCTACTCATCCAAAATAAATGTTTATGTTCTCTCAAACAATTTTGGGCAAAAGTAAACTATTTTAATTATAAGAGGGAAATAGCCCTTTAAAATGATCTGAGATTATTTCAATGGAAGAATTTTATGTTCACCGCTTTCAACTAAACACTAAAGTTTCCTGAATAATAGGCGATTGTTTTTGAACACTAGAGCTTTTCTTCAATTTATTTATTTTCTTCAACCCTGCCCTTTATAATAACCTTTTCATTATATAAAACCTCATTCTTGAGCAATCATCAAATGTACTGGACTGCTACTCCTTCTTTATGAAAAGAAGGACTAGGGGTGACATAATAGCAGTTTTCCGATATCTCAGTGGTTGCCACAATGAAGAGGGATTCAAGCACCTGAAGGCAGGGCAAGAAGCAATGGGTGGAAACCAGGGGCGGGATTCAAAATTTTTAATAACTGGTTCTGTGGGCGTGGCTTAGGTGGTGGGAGTGGCTTGGTGGTCACGTGACTGGGTGGACATGGCTTGGTGGTCATGTTATTGGCTGGGTGTGGCCAACTCAACATCACTCACATCAAGGCACGCACTTCCTCGCATGGTCATAAGTCACTTTTTTCAGTGCCATTGTAACTTTAAACGGTCACTCCGCACAAGCAGATTACCAGCAAAGGAGGGGGAAAAAACTCCAGAGATGTTCCTAAGACAGGAAGTCTAGTCCTGCCAAGAATGTAATAAGGGTTAACGGAGAGGCAGTTTCTGTAAGCAACTCCAGAATGTTTCCTTCCTGCCTTCCTTACAGGATTAGGCCAGTAATATCTTCTAACAACCGGTTCTCCGAACTGCTTAGAATGTTAACAACCGGTTCTAGAAAATAAGTACAAACTGGTAGAATCCCACCCGTGGTGGAAACTAATCAAGAAGAAAAGCAACATAGAACTAAGGAGAAATTTCCTGACAGAACAATAAATCAGTGGAAACTTACCTCCGGAAGTTGTGAATGGAAGTTTTTAAGAAGAAATTGGAAAACCATTAGGGTTTTCTGCCTGGGCAGGAGGTTGGACTAGAAGACCTCTAAGGTCCCTTCCAACTCTGTTATTCTATTCTATTCTAAACCTCAACCAATGTCATCATCTATACAAAGTGTAGTTAGCTTTATAAAGTATAAGTTTACTAAACTTAATATACTTAATATATTTTATTTTCTATTTTTATGCAAAGTTGGCATTTTTATATTGTTCCCATTTATTAAAATGC